ATACCCAGCAGTGGGATAGCTGGATCATATGGGAGATCTAGTCTTAATTTTTTGAGGATACTCCATACTGCTTTCCATAGTGGCTGCATCAGTTTGCACTCTCACCAGCAGTGTACGAGGCTTTCCTTCTCCCAACATCTTCTCCAACATTTGTTGTTTCCTGTCTTGTTAATTATAGCCATTCTGACTAGAGTGAGGTGATACCTCATGGTAGTTTTGATTTGCATTTCCCTGATAGCTAATGATGTTGAGCATCTTTTCATATGCCTGTTGGCCATCTGTATATCTTCTTTGGAGAAATCTCTGTTCAGATCTTTGGCCTATTTTTTAATTGGATTGTAGGTTTTTTTGTTGTTGAGATGTATGAGTTCTTTGTATATTTCGGATATTAACCCTTTATCTGATATATGGTTTGCAAATATACACAATAGCCAAGACTTGGAAGCAACCTAGGTGCCCATCAAGGCACGAATAGATAAAGAAGATGTGGTATATATACACAATGGAATACTACTCAGCCATAAATTGCTCCACAGTCTGATCCAATTAAATTCAGGCCTCTTTTCAGGGGTGAAAGCCATTCTTTGAGGTTATTCTGACCCCTGGAAGGCTCTTCTTAGCTCTTTCACTGGTTCTCTTTGGTAAACTAGCTTACCTACAGTTTATCTTCTTGCTCTCATGGAGCTACTAGCCTCTTCTTTATTGCTTACCATCAAAAATCTCCATTGTTTTCAGGGCTGGTCCCATGCATAGTGGTTAAGTTTGGTGTGCTCCACTTTGGCCACCTGGGTTCACAGGTTTGGATCCTGGGTGTGGACGTACATCACTTGTCAGCCATGGGCTGCAACCCACATATGAAATAGTGGGAGATTGACACATATGTTAGCTCAGGGCTAATTTTCCTCAAGCGAAAAAAGAAAAGAGGAAGATTGGCAACAGATGTTAACCCAAGGTAAATCTTCCTCAGGAAAAAAAAAAAATCCATTGTTTTCAAGAGTGCCCTTATGCTTGAACTTCTCCCTCACTGTATTCCAAATAAAGTCAGTTTCTTTGTAGAGTGCTTCAGCAATCTTTGTTCTTATGGCCTGTGTCTACCCTTGGGCAAAATCTCTTAGTTAGGGTTCTGCTGGGGCGGGGGTGGGGGGGGGGTGGAGGTGGGACAATGGTCTGTTTCTTTTGGGGTGACATTCCTGATTTACAAGTGGGTGTTAGGCAGGGACAGTAGCTTCTAGTTTTCTCTTTTGCTTCTCCTGGTATTGAACCTATAGTCTACAAGTGAGCCAGGACAACAGTGATCAGGGTCCCAGTATTTTTGACTTGCTGTGCCTGGGGTAGTACCTTTGCTTTGCTTTGCTTTCTTTCTTGAGGCTGCCTGAAAGAAGGGTCCCCTGACCTCTAGGCCACACTTGCATGTAATTTAGCCTCTGCAACATAGACCTGGGGGGAAGAGATGGGCATGGGGATGGGAAGTGATGGTGGCCTGCCTCTCTGAGTGAGGTACTGTAGCTCTTAGCTAGGGGGAGAGGAGATCCGTCATCTTAGCCGTACCCCCCACAGAATGGAGCTTTCGTCATGCTGACATGGATGGGGGCGGGGAAGGAAGGGAGTGAGTCGTGGCTCAAGTGCCATTCACTCTCAGTGTTCTTAGGAGATTTAGTTGATTTTCTTATATAAAGTTTTCTTTATTTGCTATATGCTCTTAGGACAGTTTCCAGAGACTTTAAAAGATTGTTGTTTTTTAAAAATAATTTTCACCAATTATGTTGTTTCCCTGGACAAAGTATCCATGGAGCTCCTCATGCCACCATTGTGGAAGTTCCCTCTCTTACGTGTCTCCTCAGTTTTATTATAATATTAATTGCTATCATTTATTTATTGAGGGATTACTAAGCACCTCGATACATTATTTCTGTCAAAGTCTGTATTCTTGAATAGTCCAGGGACACTAAATACTTGAAAAAATATATTGCTCTGACATGTTGGACTTGTTTGAAAAGTAGTAAGGCCTGCATATTTTTATAATTGTCCTTTTTTTTTTTTTTGAGGAAGGTTAGCCCTGAGCTAACATCTGCTGCCAACTCTCCTCTTTTTGCTGAGGAAGACTGGCCCTGAGCTAACATCCATGCCCATCTTCCTCTACTTTATATGTGGGATGCCTACCACAGCATGGTGTGCCAAGCAGTGTCATGTCCGCACCCAGGATCTGAACCGGTGAACCCTAGGCTGCCGAAGCGGAACTTGTACACTTAACTGCTGTGCCACTGGGCCGGCCCCTATAATTAAGTCCTTTTTATAAGAAACTAAGAATAAATTAAGGCATATTCAATCAGAGCAACTGAATGTAATCATTTCACAGCGTGAGTTGATATCGTCTGTTGAAGTTTTCAAAGTACGGGCCAGGGACTACCTGAATAGGAATCACTTGGGTGCTCGTTTAAAAAGCAGAGTTTTGAGCTCCCCTTCAGACTAGTTCTCATGCAGAGGCTAGTGGAGGTATTCAACTCATACAGTGGCCTAAGTTAATGTAGTGCAGACCTGGCTAATGCAGACTTCCACTAAACTTGATTGAATAATAACTTGTCAAAACCACTGTGCTAGGAACTGGTGGTGTATAAAGAGTAAGACCTGCTCTTCCAAACCCTGAAGGTGTGTATGCTATTCGTGAGATTTGTCTGGTGGAAGGAGAGACCGTGGTATAGTAACTTGATATATAGTGTGTTACATTAAATTATATACACAGAGTTGGGGCAAGCATACTTCAAGTAGCCTAAACACACACACACACACACACACACACACGCACACATACATGCACACACACAATGTGTGCCTTTATTAAAAGGAAAAGCTGGATTAAGGGAAAGTGAAAGCTAAAAAATCATTTAGAGACCAACTTCCTGTGTACTTGGAGTCTTGTGTTGTCGATTCTCCTCTCTCCATATGTTCAACTGCCACCTTTCTACTGATGGACAGTGATTGAATTTAGGTAAGGGTAGAACAGGATAAATATCTCTGACCATTTTCAGTGGCTTGATTGCCTTATGTAATGGTTTAATAAACGTAGTTTTCATACTTAAATAAATATTAAATGAATGAACCTGTGTGCCAAGGTGGTCTGTTAGGAATTCTGACTTTTCCTTCCTTCCCAAATATGGGTTTGTTTTCTAGGAAAAATATTCATATTCTTATTACTTGATCTTATATAATCTTAAGTCAATTATTGATTAACTGGGTTAGGAAGGAAGTTATATATAACTGAAAATAGTATCAAAATGTGTTCACTTATTGTTGAAATCACATCTGATTTTTGGCAACTCTTTTACTGTTTTATAGGCATCACCCAAAATTGATTTGGCATAAACTTATTGTGAAAATAATATCTGATATGTGGGGACAATTTCATTTTCTGGGGATATCATCTAAAAGTAGGCACAGTAATATTACAACAACAACTTAAAGGCATTGAACATGACATTTAATTGCTGATATAGAAGGACCGTTACTACTTATTAACCAGTGACTATTTCTTCTTTGTCTTATTTGAGCATTTCTTCCAAGCATTAGGACAGACCTGAGTTGGGCGCATTTGCAGCCCCCGCTCTGTGTTCCCTCTTCCTTCTGCACTCACCTGATTCTTCCCCCTCTGAGTCCTGGCCCAGGAGCCAGGAAACTGTGGATGTTCAGATTCCCCCTTCACCTGGACATGCAGCTGGGCACAACTTCACTCTTAAGGGGAGCTGCTCCTAGAGAAAGAGGCACCATAGGCCCAGCCTGGCATCTGTCGGTTCTCTTTATATTTCCACACATAGACACTTTCTAATATACAAATTCTTCATTGATTTTTAGACTGAATTTTTTACAAATGGCCCATTTTTTAAAATTATTAATCTGCAACCTGGTTAATCTTCTAGTAAATAATAAAGAATTGGCTACAGCGTAAGAACACTGTTGAAGGATCTGCATTTAAGCAGTCATGGTAAATGTGGCTGCAGTGAAAGCTGTTGAGTGGCTTGACTAGAACAATTATACAGAATACTAGGATGCTTGGCCCTTTTTCCTTTTACATTTCGTATTAAAGAGCATTTGTGTGCTGATAACATTCTGGTTCTATCTGGTATCGAGAGACCTCTCGTAGTGTTGGGATGATCATCCCCGTGGCTATGGCTGGAGTCCAGCTCAGACATAGTGGCACTGAGATGATGGATTCATAGCATGATGTTTTATTATTTCAAAATTAGCTGGCTTTGCACATATCTGGGAACTAATTTTGAAGTTTGCACTAACCTGGAGACAGATAATGGAAAAAGGAGAAAAGAAACCTGGCATTATTTGAGCACCTATCAAGTTCTGTGTTACAGGCAGTAATACTTACACTAAATCTGGGAGGCCCGTTTTATCCTCCCTGTTCCTTTCCTGGGAGGCAGCTGTGGTTCTGAGGGCCCAAGGTTACACAGCTAGTGATTGGTAGAGACGAGATTTAGCCTGGCCAGCTCCACAGTCTGTGCTCTTTCCACTCATTCCTACAACCAACCAAAGGTTAGTAAATGATTCTTTGTACCTGATTCTATGACTTATCACATACTGGTTATAACTGCTAATGAATATTTCCATAAGGGTTCTTTGCTCATTGTATGTCAGACTTCAAGGTGTGTCTCAACTTCACAATTTTAGGGTAATGTGCAACAGTAAGCGTTTCTCATTCCATTCAGCTTCCTGAGCACTTTATAACTTTCTTTGTGGCCATATAATAGGGTTGGTTGTCTGTCCTTGTCTCATTGGCCTGCTGCCTCTCCTCCTATTGCAGTTCTCTGAAGCACCCGGCCCCCAGTGAGGGGCCTTTCTCCCAAAGATGTATTTGTGAACGTGCTGAATTGGACGCTGCAAGATTAATTGTGGTCTGTTTATGATAGAGCTGGATTAGTATTCACAATCTGTGTATTCTTTATCTTGCTGTCAACTGAGAATATATAAATCTATTTTTTGGTCTGGGTTCATTTTAGCAGATTTGAAGAAAGCCTCCAGTTCAAATGCTGCAAAATCCAATCTACCCAAATCTGGCCTGCGTCCTCCCGGGTACTCGCGTCTTCCGGCAGCCAAGCTGGCGGCGTTTGGCTTCGTGCGGAGCTCCAGCGTGTCCTCGGTCTCCAGCACCCAGTCGGCGGACAGCGCGCAGCCCGAGCAGAGCCGCCTGGCCAACCGTAAGCCGGGCGAGCGGGGTGGGTGGAGGTGGAGGTGGAGGTGGGGTGGGGTGGGGTGGGGGTGGGGGTAGGGGGGCCCGCCCGCGCTGCTGGGGGAAGATGCCCTCGGGCGCGCAGAAGGTGAACAGCAAGTGGGTGTTACAGTGTTTCATTTTATTGGCGTAATAAGCTAAGACTGGAGGTTGACTACCTTTATCTACCATTGTTGGGACTTTAAAAAATAATCTACTGAAGACAAAAAGCCTATTTGGCACTCTCGTTTTCTCAGTTATGGGGAGTTAATGTGGCAGAAAAAGACTTTTGAGTTACTCTTAAATCTAGAAAATGGCTCATCCAGGCACTGATTCCAGGAGCCCTTTGCTTTGCAGTTTCTAAGTAAGAAGGCAAAGAAAGATCCAAAAAAGGTGTTACCACGTTGTGCTGTCATGAAACATATTAGATGTTAAATATTAGTGGAAAGAATCATTTCTGTCACCTCCGATTACCTGTCATTCCTCCATATTGGTGGAGCATTTGGCTGAATTTCTACAAGATCACTAAACGATGTTAGAAATAGGAAAGCATGGCTGAGCTTCTTCAAGTCTGTGCCCAGAAAAGTCCCATTAGGTGAGGTGATGCCACTTGAGGCTGGTTCATGAGACCGATGTTGTAAACTGTAAAGAGTGAATTAAAGCCTCAAGCAAGTCACAGCAGCCACTGTCCCCAGGGAAGATCTGGAGGCTGCCCCATTAGGTTAAGCCTTTGATGACCAAACCCCATCTCAGCCTGGTCAACTTCAAAGTCATTGTTATTGGATCTGAAGCCATGACATCTCAGATGTTGGTTTGCAAGAATTTGCCAGGGGCCAGGAAAGTCTTAGGGGTTTTCTGTGGAGAGCTGTTTTGAAGGGATTATGGTAGTTGAATCAAGCTGGAGTAATGAGAGAGGGAGAGGGGGAGACAGAGAGAGAGAGCAAGAGGAGGGGGAAGGGAAGAGAGATTGAGAATGAGATTGATTTTATATTGTTTTTTCAACTGCCTTTCTCCAAGCTTCTTCTTTCTCTGTCTTTTCTTGGGTTTACAGAGATGATGTGTGGAACATTTGTACCTTTACAGTTCTAAATTTTGGTCTACCTAGTTATTCCTATAAGTAATGCCTTTCGTTTTCTGTTCTCTTGATGTGTTTGTAAGCAGTTTCTGAGAGATTCTGTGCTCGCTTGGTTTCCTGAAGGTGATGTGTCTGAGCCCTGCTTTCATGCAGGCTTCATTGTAGGAGTATCACTGTAATTAGGGACATATCATGGCACAGGAGATGTCTCAAAGTCTGAAATGCGAATATAATAAAGAACTATTTGCACATGTGTAACTCGTATTTTTGGATATGAATGTGTATATTAACAGTCTGAAGATTTTTAAATATAGGAGCAACTATTTGTCATCATTTTTAGTAGTAAAATTCCCAGTGGCATATTTCTCTTTTAGAGGAAGCATATGTGCTAAAAAAATCTCATATGGTCCAGTATATTTCTTTCTAAGCAAGAAGTTAGGGTTTTGATTTCTTACAGAAAAAAAATTAACCTCAGGGTGAATTGACCTATGTCCCCATGGCAGCAGCTTTTGCTAAAAGAGAGCCGACAGGTGTGGACAGAATAATTCCAGGTGTGCTTAGGGCTTTTGTTCTCACCTCTGCTTCAAAGAGTACTGGATAGGGACCCCCCGAGGACCCAGGGAGACAAGAGCTGTTATGTGCCAGAATATAACTCCTTCTTTAAAGACTTCATATTAAAAGCAATATTTGCTCTATTCAGAATTGTTTTCTATTTTGAAAGAAAGGGTGTTAGAATCGGTTTGTAATTAGTCACCTAACTTTATGTAAGATTTGTACTTCAGTAAACCACAAACTTTGCACGTCTTTGAATTGATGTCTTAGTATCATTAATCCTTATACTTGTTATTAAATTTAATGTCAAGAAAAATTTTGTTTCTGTTCTTTAGTGGAGAGACGATGCTTTGATGACAACGATCGAGTAAAATATGAAGCTCTTGTAAGAGCCAGGTCCTTAGATCAGATCGTGGGAGCAGAGCTCTGCTGGCTTAGCTCATAGGAACAGCTAACACAGTATCAGAGCTGGCTCTCTTTTCCTTCTTGGAACATTGGTCTTTCCTCAGACACCATTTTCACTTAGGATTCATTGTGGGAATACCACTGAAATTAGAGATTACATCGTGGCACAGGAGATGTCTCAAAATCTGAAACATAACTATAGAAAGGAACTATTGGCAAATCTGTAGTTCATATTTTTCGATACTCATGTGCCTGTAAACAGTCTGAACAGTGTCCTCAGTGACCGTGGCATCCTGTATTCAGGACACTTTTAAGTGATGCATTATGAACTTATTAGTGTTTCTTGGGCTGCCCTGGCTCAGTTGCAACTCTTGCTGTGCTGTTTTCCTGGGTCCTGAGGGGCAAGTGGTGATGAGTGTGGAGAGGAGAGGCCTGTGGGCCCCCTGATCTGTGCAGAATCTGTCCTCCACCTGGGCTCAGGCTCCGTGCCATTAGTTCAGCCCCACTGGGCAGGGGCCTCGGTGTGTCTTTTTACGTTTTCCACAACGTTTGGGCAAAGGGAGCAGACACAGGGAAATGAATTCTCTCTATCCATCCTGAGGACCTGAGGGTATCTTAGCATCGAGTCTACCTCCTCATTTTACAGCTGAGCAAACTGGGATCAGAATGACTTGCTCCCGGCTCAGGATTAAGGTTCTTTTTCCTTCTATTTACTTCTTAAAGCTGCCAAAGTGGTGAAGACACGCCCATGATTTAGTCTTTTCTTTCTAATAGTAAAGCAAATCTTGGAGTCAGAGTAGCTTTGAGAAGGCCCCTCAGGCCAAACCCACCTCTCCCTGCTCCTTTCCGGGTTGTCACCTGACCTGTGTGAACACTTGAAGTGATGGGGAGCATTCCATCTTGTGAAAAAGCTGGCTCTGAGGCAGGCCGCTCTCATTGTCAGCCAGTGCTCCACGTGGGTTCAGGCTGCCTCCGTGTAATTTCCGATTAGTGGCTCAGTTCCTCTGGATTAACACACAAACTTTCTCTTCATTGTGCTGCAGGAGACAGCCTTTGGCAGCTCCCTTCACTCCTTTGCAGGTTCATCATGTGAAGATTATGAAGTTGGCCCATTAGAACCTCAAATAAAACTTCAAATTACACTAGCTAGTGACCCACAGCTTTTGTAAGATTTAAACTGAGTGGGGTGGGGGGTGGGGGTGGGGAGTAATTCTCTAACTTAAGACAAATTTAAACTTAAAATCATAGTATTTGAGCAGGTTTGACCCAGTGTGTAGCTCATAATTTTTTTTATAGTTTTCAGAGAAGGAAAAAGCCCTCCAATATGCTTTAGGCAAGAGAAATTTAGAGAAGAACCATTACTGTAGTATTGAATGTTGGTAACCTACTGTAGCCTAAGGTGTAGCTAGTTGTCAGATTTCTTACTAGTTAGATGGAGACTTGATTTTCCCAGTGGGCGAGTAGGTGTAATTTAAAGTTAAAACCTTTGGGGGGGTGTGTGTGGGAAAAATAGGAAGGCTTAGGGTTTCATGAATTAATCCTTAATGAAAATGAATCATATCACCCAAGGATAGAATGATTTATGTAGAGGATCATATCTCATTGTGTATTCTGAGTAGCATCTAACATGTTGGGTGCTCAAGAAACAGGAAATATCTATCAGAAAAGAATATGCAGAAGATGGCGTTTGCATCTGTCCTTTTCAATTTCTCCTCCTCTTCCTCTCTTCACAGATACTATCACACTTTCTCTACGGGATGAGCTAAGACCAGAAATCTTGAGACAAAGAATTTGAAAGAAATACAAAAGAGAAATGAAGGGTTTCTTTTCTTGGTGCAGAAAAGTAGTAGAATGTTTGGGAAAGTAGGGATTGTAGGGGAGGAAGACATTTCCTCTACCCGCTCTGGGTCCTTCTGGCTGGAGAACGAATTAAATTCACATGAGACAGAATAACAGGAGAAAACTAAACAAAGTTTTATAACATGTATACATGGGAGAGGCTCAGGCAAACTGAGCAACTTGCCAGAATGGCTGAAGCCACCACCTTAAATATCATCTTCAGCTAAAGGCAAAGGAGGATGTTGGGGGAGGTTAACAGACAAATACAGTAAACAAGAGTAAGATTATTATGCAGATTTAAGTCCTTGCCTTCCTCATTGATTAAAAGTTTCTAGAGATAAGGTCTTCCCCTTCTTCCTGGTACAGAGAGGGAGACACCTTTACAGATGGAGATTTCCTTTACAAATGTAAATGTCTCTTACAAAGGGTAAGTAAATTCTACTTTTCAGAGTTTCTTTCCTGTCTGCAGTTTTTTAAAAAGTAACCAGCCCAAAATAATGCTCATGCCAAAGAGACATATCTTGGGGTGGCCAATTCCAGTCCCTCACAGGATCTAGTTGAGGAGGTGAAGAGAGAGGCTGACATTTGTATAAATAATCATGACACAAGGATATATATGTGCCCACAGTTTTAAAAATGATACAAAGTTGGATAGAAGTTCATGAGTTGGGGTGGAGGCTTAATTTCTGAGTAGAGTGATCAGGGAGTTTCTCAGAGGTGGTTGTAAGCTGGGCAATATTTTGGAAGGTGGAGATGGGCTCTTGGAGATCTTTTGAGGGGAGTTGTTGGTGCATCCAGAAAACCTTCTGAATCTGAGGGGTTGCCATTTCTGTGCAGCTTGCCAGTTCATCATGGCGTTGTCTGTCTCCTGTATTCTGAGGCTCATGTGTTTGGGCTCCCCAGGTTTGTTCTCAGAAGGCATCTATTCCAGTTTTTCAGTCATCTTATCCACAGTTTCAGCTCTTAGCACTTCGGACACAATACTGCATCCATATCTCTAGTCTCAACCTCTCTCTAGAATTACTCATCTACATTTCAAATGGCCTTCCAGATATCTCCAATTGGGTGACTCAAGTCACCTCAAACTGAACATCTCCCAAAAGTGAATCTTTCATTAT